AATCCAAAGTACAATTTAACTACTAAATTTAAATTATCAGTTAACGCAATTTTAGGCTATTTGAAATTCTAATACATAACAGTGGCAAATCCTAGAATAAGCAAATCTAAACCTTGTTCAATTCTAGGAACTAGTCTAAAGGAAAAGGCGAAAAGAAGTTTGGCAGAACAACTTACAGAACAAGATTTATGATCCTTGCTTATATGAAAATGTGGTGAGCTTAACTCGTTAACAATCATATCCATCAGCTGCTACCATACATGCATCAACTTCGTCATTAAGATGTCTTGCAATATATTCTTATATTCTTCATCACACTTCTCTTTCCTTTCTTGAACCAGCATTATTATCATTAGTTTGTTTGCAGTTAAGCACAAAGCTACACAATAAACTGCACTTACTACTAGTATTTAAACCCGGTTTTTAACGTTGTAAGTCCGCACACATACCAGTGAGCCAGTAAAAGTGGGGCGTTTATTATTAGTATAAAAAGATTTAACTGAAGCATATTGTCTACAATGTATACAAAAGATTTAATGATACGTATCTTAGCTTAGTAACTTTTTAATAACGTATATTATATTACGAACCTGTTCAACCTGGATCAGCCTCAATCTTATTAATATAGATTCAATACATTTAGTTTGTCATGATATAAAAGACTGTTTGGTTTAAATATTATTAATTAATTTATATTTGTGATTGAATGTTTTATTATTTTTAAATTTTGTTATAATAAGAGTTAAAAGCAGACGATTGTAGAAGGTTTTGTTTATAACTAATTGGTGTCGAGAATATAGAAAGTGACCAGACGACTATGTAATAAAGATATAAATAGCGTGAGACGAGCGGGAAGCATATATATATTATTTTGAAAATCTGACATAATCCTTATGTATTGTTCAACAATAGGTTTACTTTAGACTAACAGCAGACTCATAAGAGTGAGAAAAAAATTTAAATTCATTCAAATGGTGTATTATCACTTACAGAGGTTGAGCATTTGCATTGTTTTGGGTAATAACCTGTGACATAACAACAATGATCATAAATAAGGCTTAATCTAATTTAAAAAGAAATACATTGCGCTAGGCTTAATTTGCATAGTATCTTAATTACCACTATCTGAAACACAGAACTTGGTGCTTAACGCTGTGATAACACTAGAATCAATGAAGTGTCTGAACTCCATCAAATATTAAAGCTCTAAAATTTCTCAAGTAAGTTATCAAAAACTTTAACCCTAATGTTTATGTTAGTAATAAGCCACTTAATTACGATTATAATCAGACTTAGAACAGAAAAGTTAAAGACGAATGCATTAAGGGTTACATCACAAGCAACGTAACTTCTTTCACACCGTCAGAAAAAATAGTGTTACGACAGCGGAAGTCACGTGACGCTGCTGACGTGCGTGATGAGTTTCTCGAATGATCGGGGAAGTACGAGTGTGTTCGAGATGCTCTCTTCGTTAGTATATAAGTCTGGCAGAGAAAACCATCGGGGATGAATGAAGAGAGAGCAGTAGTTACTTTGAGTTCTGTGTAATTTTCTGTTCTGTTAGTTTCGAGCTAGTGA